GCAGGAAAACAGGGATGGTTGTTCTCTGTCGCGTGAGCGCGACGATCAATTTTGAGCACGCTTCCTTTTCCACCATCGTCGGCATATGCCGTATGCGCAGAAGCCGTGTAACATGTAGCAACCATAAGGGCTCTACGCATACCGGCGGGAAGCGGCACCGCGCTTGTCGTGCTTTCCCCCTCGTCTGCCTCACACCTGCTACTACTTATTTCTTTTTTCTGCTGTCGCTGATTCCGTAAGTCCCGAAGAATACTGAGAAAAGTGGGACGCAGAGCGCAAATCAGCAAAAAATTGTTGCAGAATTGAGAATACAGTTTCAGCCTCATTATCGTACGCGTGGAAATGAAACCATACATTTGGATGTGTAGCTGGGTTGAATGCTTTTTATCTGTGTATATTACTATAAGTACGAATGTGCACCTGTCAAAGGGATCTAAACGGAAAAGGTAAAGGGGGCGAGTGACACGCTCATGAAATAGGCGCCCAGACACACGTCAGTGGAAGATACGTGAGCGTGCTACACGAAGCCGTGAAAATTAGTGAGGAATACTGACGACGGTAGCAGTTATGCTTGAGAGAACGGCACTTATTCATGTAATAGTAACAGGTATCTCATATGTTTAGGTTGCATCCGTATCGCGCTATTATTTCACAGTAAAACCTGTAGATATATTTTCAACTGTTCGTTGTTTTGTGAAGGCAAAATTGATGTTTCAAAAAGTGCAGGCGAAGTTTCTAGATATTCTGTGCAAATTGGGCCGCTCTGGACCGCGGATTCAGATCATATTATAATATGCATGAAAAGACACAATCGCAAGGACGAGCTGCACGTACAATGCAAAATATTTATTCAAACTTCGAGTCAATGAGCATTCTATCGGCATAGACGAGCAGCGTCGGAAACTTTGTTCCTGGCAACACAGTTATGTTACCATATCAAAAGTAGAGGGTCTTTAGCTGTCTTTGAGAATAATGTTTCAGTACACAATATCGACACAAAAAACCTGTGGACGTTACCTAAAAGCCTTGTAGGGCTCTTCGACGTAAACTAAAGAACATTGCGCATAAATACGTCAGAAGCCTACTCATACATACAAATACTATCTTTATCTATCAAAGAAAAACCAGCCAAACTGAAAAAAAAACGATATTAATCTCCCCAAGTACCATCTTTAAAGTTTCTCGGAAAGCGTTTCCTCAGATTTTATATATCGTAGTGACAGGTGGCTCTAACGCCTCAGCAGGCATATATTGAAGTATCTCATGACTCATTTTCCTAAACCCTCATAAAAACTAGAATGTGTCGGATGGTCTGCCCAATCTCCAGTGTGCAATATCTGAAATGAAGGCGTGCCCAACTCTGACTGAAATGTACTAGATAAGCAAGCAAACATACGATAGAACACAAATCGCATTCTATCTACCCTTTTTGATTAAAATACAAAACAATATTCGATTTAGCGTCCTAGGCACTTAACTAAAAGAAAATCAACCACCTCTAGTTAGACTTGTAGTTAATCCTATATATATATATATATATATATATATATATATATATACAGATATATATATATTTTTTTTTTTCTGAAGAAGAATAAACGAGTTTGAAAATTTCTAGTGAAGCCTGAAATACACTGTTCCGAGCTCAGGTTCCTACCCCGTAAAGAACGTATTTGAATTGTAAGATCCATTATTAAGATAAGAAAAAAGCAAGTAAAGCTATCACAGAAACAGGTTAAGCAACAAAATATACCGAGTTACGTCAAAAAAGCATGCTGCATTATTATCTAAAAATATTGATTTATGTACACCCTCCTATTTACGCACCACATGGCACACAAATTGTTTTAAAACGTTGTAAATCACATTTAAATGACGAAACATCTATACGTGAAGCACGTATGGTCCCTTGCTATCTAGCCAGCTGTCATAATAATACCATTGGGAAACTGGAAGACGAGTACACCCGGTCATATCGCTATTAAATGGAAACTAATGATGCGCCTAAGGCGACAGCCTAAGCTCTTCCTGCCATTATCATTATAGCTATTGAACCAACCGGGTAGCTCACAGTAAACTAAACGCCTACCTTCCATATGATTACCATTTTGCAGTGCTCTCAAGAAGTTGTTTCTCTAGAAGGGCTGCTTTATAAATGTCCAGCGATATTTAACTAGTGCATGGGGGGGATGCATGTCAAGTCTTATCTTCCTGAATAGCAACATTACTTGGACGATTGTAGTTTTTGTTAACTGAGGAAGGCTGCATTACCTTTGTAATGCCTTTAATTTTACAAACTTAGAAACTTGAAGTTACATGTGTTGACAAAGAACTGATAATTTTTTGTTAAATTTCCAGTTGTATTGGCTGTTAGTCTTGCGCTATTCGAAGTGCTAAAATGACAGAGAAAAAAATCTGAAGACGCTAAGGCAGGCAACAATGGGACTGCGACGAACGCCGTTCTGGGCGTGATTTGGCCCACATTTACTTCGGATGCGCCCACAATTGTGTGCCGTCTGAAGCGGAGCAGAGCTGAAATATCGTATATAAAATTTAAAATATATATATGCTTTGTCATGCTTATATAAAGATTTTTCTATGACGTCCTTTTTTAAACAAACAAAGTACCTACGGAATGATTATACCCTGTATTTTTAATTTATACATTCGACATACGGGAACATCGTTTATCAGCGATTTTTTATTCTTGTATTAGTTGTATTATCTAACTACTACTTCCTTTTAGATCCTGAAATAAACTTCTTTCACTGTAAAGCAGGTCTAGAACCTGTCTGATCCGCAAATATAAAGTTGATATTTGTCGACAAATATACTGCTAGTTGTTATATTCGACCGTGGTCGCACTATAAACCATTACTTGAACCATATTCATCGTAGAATTTACACTACGGCTGCGACTGAAATCTCTTTCCTGGAAATTTCCTCATATTTTCGGCCATAGTTTAACCAGAATTATTCCGAAGTATCCTCCATGTCGACCTTTCGCCATGAGGGCTTTTCTCGTACTCAGTCAGAAGGCAATAACAGAGCACATCGAAATGCCCTTTAGTATATTTCGTTATAGTAAACGAATATGCATTTTATAATTTACTTTTCGCCCATTAGCCATATGCAAGATAATAATAATGTTATGGTGTTTTCTCCTGAATTTCGCATGAAGTAATTTCTTAGTAAACTTCGAAACCTTTGAACATCTTAATTTGTTTTAAATTTTGAGAACTAACTAAATATTTAAGTAAAAAAATAAGAAAATTGAGAAATTTTGAGAAGCTTCCATTCTAACCATTATAACAGGATATTCAATAGTTATTAAATAAATATTTTTTAGGAAGGATTCACGACAAAGGCGAGTCGATGGATCCATTCCATGCGTCCCTTGCTGTTTAACTCTTAAGTTAGCACGAAAATAGCTATTGAATGCGATTATCAAAGAAGAAAATGAACATAATAGAGGTCAAATAATCGTGAAAATTTTCAAAAAAAACTCAACTTTAGTATTAATTAATTTACTTATTTTAGTATTATATATTCTAGTATTAATTAATTAACGTCTTAATTTTTCGGTGAAAACGTATGAAATAAACAAGGTTATATTGATGATAATTTTAAGTTCTTTTCCTATAAAGTCGAAAACTTTATGTCGACATTTTGAGCGCAATCGCGTTTAGAAGAAAGCTAATAGCTTAAGATTGCGACTAGCCGTGTTCTCATAAATTTTCCGTAAATCATTCGCGACATAAAAGACCGAGTAAATTATGACCTTCCATGAATCAAACTTTTTGTTCTGGATAAAGGACCCAATCTAAGCCCAAGGATACGGGTTAAAAAAATTGTAAAAGATTACGTGCAGGAGTATAAATATAATTATTTTATTTGTTCCGTCTCACGTATTGCGTGATTAACGTTGACAGTGGGGCTTTAACTGATAATGCATAAGTAATGACTGGTTATATTAAATAAAACAATTCAAAAGATAAAATAAGATTTTTATACCTGGTATTTGACTCTTACTTAATTGCAGTAATGTTTGCTCGCTAAAAGGAATTAATCGATTCTATAACAAATTGTACTATTTCAACCGTTTTCCAAAACTAAGAAAACTGCCGGCATTATTGTAAGTAATACAGTCTTCGAGCGGCGGCGCCACCAAAAAGATAAATGCATAAGTAGCACGAAGGAACAAAAACAAGGCAGGATGTAATAGGTTGCATCTCCTTTTACCAAGTCAGCATCATGGGTCTTGGATTTTCCACCACTGTCCACCGGTGGACTTACTCGGTTCTTTTTCACTCTCTTTCTAGAGGCCCATTTTTGCGTTCGTACTCGCGGGGAATGGGGTTCGCTTGCGTGCTTCTGTCTGTCCTCAATCCATTTCGCGATCGCCGGTTTGTTTAGAACCGGCGCAACAGTCACAACATTTTCTTTATTCGGATTATACTCTTGTCAAACACCCACTTTTCCCGCTGAAGCTGCTTATAAGGTTGAATACAATCCTCACATGGATATGCCTTTTGCAGAAGTTCCACACGTAAGACAATCTACGTTGCTAGCTCTTTGTTCCTCTAGATGTGAGATTTCGTGCGCATATTTGCGCTTACGGACAATAGTGCTATGAGACTTGTAATGTGCCATCCTTCCACCTACTAACGTGTATGCATCTGTGGCGCTGCACTGTCCCTGTTTTTAGAAATCACGCTGCCGCTAGTGCTGCATTTATCCCCCGCTCCCCCCTCCCCTTGCAACCTTCGTGCTAAATCTATGGTTTTTGCCCACATGTTTCGTTTTTCCATTCGGTTTGGAAAGTGTAGGAGAAACCACAGGACAGGCGCTCATTCGAAACAGCGCATTGCACGAGCGCCTGGAAAGGGCACCTGGACGAGTCGCGCACAGCCGCTACTGTCAGTTGCGATCTCCCGTTTGATAGCGAAAAGCAATGCTTTCCCTGGTTTCCGTTTTTTCTGTTACAGATACATAGACATATATACACAAAGACAAACATGAGAACCCGGAGCTCTTTGCGATTGTAAAATGGAAGAAGAATAGGGAAATATGCGAGACAGGAACTATGATTTAGAGCGAAGACCTTTCATAAGAGACAGACCGATTCAGGGAAAGAGTGGGGACAATATGAGGGGTGGGTGGTGGAAAAAACTGTGGCTACATCCAAACCAAACGTGCATAGATTAAGTAACGCGTGCAACTTAGTGCACAGGAGTTCGTCAAGACGAATGGTGCTTCGAAACCAGCGCGATGCTCGTCGGCGCTGGTAAGAACCGGAAGACGCGAAACCGTTCACGAGAGAACGGGGACCTATAGTGCAAGCAACAAAAGGGTGCCGGGAAATCTTCATGCAGTTTTACATGCAAGCACTGTCCTTTATCTGTACGGAAGGTTCCGAGACGGACGAAAACCAAGTCGCTAAGCAGCAAAAGGTATGTAAGGTAGAGAAAGATCACAATACGTGTATAATGCAGTCGTATGCACACGTGCACTGCCTCATTCGTTCAGTTGAAAAATATACGATATTTCACAGTTTTTTTGCAATGTAAATTTGATTCCGACAACTCCGAGAGAGCTCTTTCGTTGGAAAGCTAAAAATGCGAATGCAGATTTAAGCAGTGAGTGTACAATCTAGTTTTACGCCTGTTCTTAAAGCACTTGTGGGACCTACATAAATTTGCATGCATGCCATAAATGGAACTTTATAACAAACTCGTATGAGAGTAAACGCTCGTAGGGCAAGAACTTATGTCTTAGTGGGCTTCATGTTTGTCGCTGCAAGGTTTCGTGGTCAAAAATCGTGCTTGTGTGAGGTTATCTGAATGCTTACAAAGTCCAGGAATATAGACAATTATTATGAGTACAACCCCAAACTGTGGCATTTACGTCTTTACCCATTAGTACAACAAAAAATTTCTGGTTGTTTCTCGTTACATGGGATATAACTTGTGAACTTTTCATTCAACAGAAATAATCTGATGCGCTGCAAAATTTGCTAGAACAATTCGCAGGCATGTGAGCAAAGGATGTGACTTGGATAATAATGGAAAAAAACTGCAAACATTATTGTTATGACTGACAACTGTGACGATATTTTTAATAATAGTTTTAGTATAAAATAGTAGGCGTAATGGGACTCTTTTCTATGATAATTTGCGAGAATTGGAACGCAGTCAAAGTTGTACTTCCGTAAATTAACTAATAGTTTGTTTTGTAATCGTGTGTTGTAGCCATGTAATGTTGCCATGAAGATCCTCGCAATGTGAGCCCGAGTATCGTCTCGCTAAAGAAGAACGCGTTTTCTACTAGGGGAAAACTAAGTTCTTCCACTTTTCTATTCTCTTCAATCTCAGAAACTTTTAGTAAAGAATAATTGTTCTGATCTGTAGAACCACACACAATTAATTGACGCTTTTATGGTTTTTTTCTTTACCTCACGTGCAGTGGGACAAGTGAGCCATTTTTCCAGTCCTTTGCCGCGTTTGACTATCTGATCGCGTATTGAACTCACTTCTTTTAACCTATCGCAGAGCAATCAAAAAATTAGTCACTGATTTTTGCGATCTAACAGAGACTAGGTGTGCGATAGCAAAAAGCGGTCGGAACGAAGCTCCAATTCTCGACTTTGCACGCCTTTGACATTGAATGCGAACGATTTCTAGAGTAATACATCCAACTCTCGAACTACAATCACAATAACTATAGTCAAAGTTTTCAATCGCCAGTTACAACTTATCGTCGTAAGTCTTCTCGGCACCTTTGAGAAAACTCTCGATACGAAACTTGTCGAATTACGTAAGAAAGCTGCATCCAAAGGCAACACAAATGTCGACCGGGCTATCTATTAAATGTCTTTTAGTTTAAACTGAGGAACGTTGATTGTGTGGGAAGTCCACTTCGAATGCCCATATGGGCTTTTCTTGACGAGTATTTAGCTATGTCTAACTACAGAATAACTGTAATTAAATAATAAATAGAATAATTCACAAATTCAACTACGTGAAGAGTAGGCATCAACGATTTTCGACAGAACGAATCACCCAAAGCTTTCGGTGATAAGATAAGAACGACGTAGTAATGATTTTATATGTTGGATTAGATCGATAAATTGAGCTCGTCAGATCATTGTTTGTTGTCTTATTCGATACTGAAATAGCTGACGATGTACTAACGTCATACGGAGACAAGAAGCTTCATCAGTCCGTCCATGTGGAACGTTCTATAACGTATCTCCGATAACAAAGCATGCACTACCCCGTGCAAGCGTGATCATACAAAGAACTATATATTTTGGATAATTGAACTTTTTTTCAAAGACGGCTTTTCCTCACTTCCTTTCCAGTACAAGCTTCTTAACTAGATGAAAGCTTCTGAACATCGAAATGAGATATCAACTGGAGTTACAAATCAAGTCTGTATGGTAACGACCGCAACTTTCGATACATGGCGATTTCACTGGTCGGCAGGGGACACGCACGAAATGGTACTAACAAGCTCAACCTATCAGGTAAAGCGCATAGTACAAGCATATCACCTATGTTATGCAAATACCTTTCTGGGTCACAAGAAGTCTATAGATGAAAGGAAACCTTTCCTCAACTAAGCCCTTAGCGGCCGTGCGAGCTTTGGTAATAAATCAAAAGCAATGACTGGGTCATAGTCGACAAGCACGTCAGCTCTGTTGCGTTAGGCTTCCTATAAAGGACGACAGGACATGTTACGTTTCATTTGGGTGTGTGGGAAGAAACATTAGTAGATTGCTAAGCGAAGCACTGTTATCTACTTCTCTCTCGCTCTTTTTTTATCACGGCTTTTTGGAGAGGGAACGGGGTCTGGCAGCAGGAACTGGACCTTGCGAGAAGGATGAGGCATTGGTTGGACTTATCTCACGTACGTACGTAAAGGATACGCAAGATCTCCCTAGAGGCAAACGTTTACCCGATTAGTTTTTCTTGCCCCTGGCTTTCATTTAGACAGCCTGCGACGCCTGCTGTAACTGCTGTTGTTGCCACCACAACTACATGCAACCAGGCATGGAATATCATTCGAGGATAATACTATGCTCCGTCCAAGCCGACGAAAGTAGCGGACGTGTTCGCTCATAACGCATCCAGTTTACCGCCCGTATAGAAAGCTCCCCTATAGACCTATAAAGTAGATATAGATGTGTATATATATATATAAAAGCGTATAGCTGTTTAATCCGGACAATAATCATAACCATAAAAGAACGTGGGAAAAAAGAAAAAAGGATCTACGTTCTACTATAGGTTAGTCTGAAAAGCCTAAATCAGCTGCCAGGAACTATAATCGATGCAGGGTTCCTAGGCGCCACTCTTTTTACAGTTCTTCCCGTCGAAATCAAAGGTTCTCCGTTAATCTAGAAGTCAGCCCCCCAAAACGTATTCGTATGCTACAAGCTGCCTAAGGCGGTGTAGTTGTTACGTGTTTCCTGGAACTTGGAGGGACATGTGAAATGTTTTAGATCTGAACCCGAACATTAACATTTCACTTTATAAAGCTGTAAGTGATGGGAAAAGGCGGTGAATCAAATAGCAGCTGTTATGCTCTATCCTTTCGATTGTTATTAAGGAAAAAAATGCCAAAGACAAACGAACACTGCATGAAATCCGACAAACCCGATGTACTACAAATCGTAAAGCTCATCAAGATACGCACATAAATTAAATAAACGTGAGGCATGTTTGTGTGCTTATAGTCTTGAATGTATCATCCAATACCGGTGCTACTAAAATAGAGCTTGTTTCGGCTTAAGATACGAGTTTTGAATTTGTTTAGACTATTTAATCAATAATCTGAAAAGCTGTTTTATTTAATTCAAGGGATTGAACAAATGGTCTTTTACGAAGCTCTGGACGGTGAACCTTACGGTGATAATCGATGTTTTCTACTGTTTAGCAGTTTCTGGATTTCGAATATACAATTTGTTTTTTTTATATAACTGGTCACTTTCAAACATATACTGTATACTTGATTAAAATTCCCAGTGAGCAATTATTTTGCAAGGACTCAATGTCAAATTATTTACACACAGCCCGCCTCCTACCAGTGGTCAAGACGTTAATTATTACTTAACCATTATTCAGGATGAAGCAAAGATTCGACTTCTGCACAATACTAGATGAGCAAATACCCCATAACCACGGAAGACATCAAAAGTGTTTCACAGTATACCGAATACCCATGAATACGAGTACATCATCAAGTCATAGATCGAGTAGAAAACAAGTAACTTTATGAAAGTGACATACAACAATAATACATGCTACTTGGTTAAGTAGACCATATAAAATATTGTGTTCAACCTCAATCATTTTTCAGTCTTTCAGGCTGTTTAACTTGGCACAACGCTGATCATTAGAAGGCTGTAACAAGAGGAAGGAATTTAAAGGCAAAAACATTCACTGGACGAGTTGAAACCGTTTGTCTTAATGAAAGCACATTAGGACGAATCCTAGTATAACAACCCAATTATAAACCTCGTGGGGATTGTATATCGCAAAATGCTCATTGTCCCATTTATCGGTTGCCCCTATTAGTCCTAGTGTTAACACACTGCGGTATACTGGTCAATTGCATCAAGGTAAACACAAAAACCTATTTATCCCATTGAAACTGAAAACTACACTTGCGTTTCATTGTTTTTAAAATGTTCGTGGGTATCGACGGAAGTTTTCTACGGGGACCTTGTGCTTAATCTAGCACCCACAATAATCTGGTCCTTAACGTTGACCTGTCGTACATTATTTTGACAGACGCTGCTTTTTCTCGTATTGTAATATCTTGTAGCTAACTCAAAGGAATAAAATTATAGTGGCGAAATTAAGCCTGTAAAGGTCTTGCTTCACTTGTACGGTCATCAGTTTATTACTATTGGATAATTTTGCGCTATAACATAGTTGACCCTAAGAAGGGCCTAAGAACGCTTAAAAATAATCGTCCAGCTATGAGCATCACCTACTCTTGGAAATTTTTTCTGGGAAAAACAACCGCCACGTAAGGTAACCATGTAATGCTCAGCCTCCCACACCGCTAACGATTAAGTATATGGGCCTTGCGTTTTTTTCAACAGCTTAGTTACAGTATTGGCTAGTAATATATCAAGTTGCTTAAGTCCACTAAAAGTAACAAGTTTTACAAGAGTCATAACGCAAACGCCTGGTAGGCGTTAAGGCTGACTTGAGTTCCCATTAGAAATGCTCCTCATATGCGTAAACTCATTATTTGTGTATAATGATTATCTTCTTCGTTTATTTTTGAAAATATGACTATACCGGTCAGCAAATATTACTACACATGGGCAGCGATTACGGATGTTTTTCTAGGCAGCTTTAGCCGCTAGAGGGGCGATATAAAACGACATACTGAAGTAAGTTCCTTTGTGTCAAGCTAACGATATCATTATTGTATATATTTTCTGTTTTTGGCAACTCGGCCATAAAGTACATCGTATTACATTTTCACCAATGCATCTACTGTGCAATTCGCAAGATGGTATCTACGCCGTTTTCAAAATATAACCCTGTACTGTACTGAAGCTTTTCTGATACTGCCCAAGAACCATCGACCACGCAGGCCAACTCGGGCATCACTTTCGTGTTTTCTCGTATCGCAAACATCATCCAGCTCAAAACGCGGTCATCTCTTTCACTCTTTGAATTTCACTAATGTATTTACCTATGCATACAGCTGAACGCACGCCAAAGTTCCTTTAGGGTTAAGGTCACTCGCCGAGCATTTATAAATATGCCCATGCACACACTTATCACATCGATAACTTCTAACAGTAAGTTAGGTTAATTCATAATATATGCTTCCACACTTATCAACCGTGCCGTGTTAAACTTATACATCTTTGCGTGCCGTTCTTAGCCCTGACAACTCTTGCAGACCCTAGCTGTCGATCGAAGCTAAACGGATATGCCTAGTATAGCGGCTTAACAAACGAAGTGCTCGCATCTTGAACCTGAGCGGTCGTCTCTCAAGTTTACCGCACGGTAGTTGCAATCTCCGTTTTAATTTGACTTCTTTTAAATTAGTCTCTTTAATTCGAATTGACTCTGAACTTTAAGTTTTTTAAAAATAGATTTAGTACCAACTTGCATCTTGGAATATTACCAAGTATTGCTAGCTAGCGGATAATGTCAACGGTCCACTGACACTAATAATAACAATTCCTGCATGGAACGTAGAAAAACGGGCCTTACTACAAACGTTTCTAAATAGGCTGTCTGCTCTGCACAAAGCGCGAGACTCTTAGACTTGTGGCACTCTTTTTTTGGAGGATGGTAGCTGCAGGCTACAGATGTACGTGGTCTTCATTTCGTTGGACGTATATGTAATGTATTATAGATCTTCGCTATCAATGACGAAAATCTTGGGCATATAATAGGTAAGCGCGCCGAAAGGACCCAGTGAGTTTGATTTGCTCAAGGCAGCTTCAAGCTAATAAACTATTGTTTATTTTTAGCGTAAAGCTCTACCGATACTTCCAAAGCCTGGCGACTCAAGATTTACCTCACGATGCGGTGGGTCTCCAGCTGGTGCGGGAAGAAGGAATGAGCAGGACCGAATGTCTCTATGGGATGGCTCGCGTGTACACGAAGATGGTCAAGAAGGGTCTGCCAAAGTAGATAAGATTAGGATGCTTTCCTGCATCATTGAATATCATCCATATCATCCGGCTTTGGCTAGATCTTCACACAACGTATAACCGATAAGATTTATACGAGTCAATGCGCTCCTCTAGACGCTAGCGAAGATATATTCAAGAGAAATACGAAGGGTTTGCAGGTATAAAACTAAAGCGAATTGTGAGTTGAGGCACGATTGCCGTAATATGTAATGTATATTCACGCTATATATATAAGAAGTATGAAAGATCTTAGGGAACAACCTTACGGCCTATTGGAATTGAACCAAAACACTACCATAGCCACTTATCTAATACCATTGCTATCATATAATTGCAGATAAACTATGACATATCTTACAACAAATGAATATCCCGCAGCGCAAGTTTCAAGTATAATCAATTTACCGTTCTTACCTCGTTCGGAGTGAATATTTGGCGTCAAAAGATGAGTGAAGTGCTGCAAATGAGGTTCATATCTCGTAAAAAATACCAAGAAGAACAGTAAAAAGACGAGACGTATTCTATATTGAAGTACTTTTTACGTTAGGCCTTGGACAGGAGTTCCACATTGGGTTATGCTCACCGACCATTGAGCATAGTCTCCGTATATTGGAGTTGTATTTTCATTGGAGCACAGAGTTACTGAAAACATATGGGGATAATTAAACAGATTCATATATGATTTGCTCTTTGAAAAAAGATGACAGTCTAATTTTCTTCGCGATTAACTATATGTTTTCGTCCTACGATTGAACTTTACTATATGACTATGTTCAATGAATGTACACTTTTTATTATTTCTCAACACTGTCTAGCCAACGTAACGGAAACAAATGCGTGTATCGGTAGCATGTGCTTCGTTTCTATTTAAAGTATATGGTTTGCTTCCAACACACAAACTTTGCCGGGTTGTTTATACTAACGGATACGCGTTCATCTACTACTCGTGAAAGCAGAGAAAGGTCGGCCATTTCTACGAGAAAGCAATGAACTCGTCGCCTTCGGAATTTGAACAAACACAAGCTATTACACAATGTCTGTACGTTAGAGGAAGCCCCACCGAGATTAGAAATGTTTTAGATCATATTGAATCGATAGTCCATCGCGTCATAAATACCTATATGCGGCCGGAGAGGAAGTCGGAGGATGTTCTACCATGGCGCAACAGAACAGTCCACGAGAGAAAAAAGACAACGCGGATTTCAACGCTAGCCGCTAGCGCTCAAAAGTTAACTCCTAATGATCCTTTTGTATAGATTAGGAAGGGAAAGAAGCTGAGCGTACCATGTTACGGTTTGTTCACGAAAACTTCAGGTACACGTCATATGCCATAGATGATCTCTGAAAATAATAAGGTCAGGAGATCTATGCAGTACTGTTTGATACCCAGTTTTCTCAAGAATGAAACAGTAGCTCGTCTTCGATTTTCCGAAGATGATAATTCGTTCATCTTCGGTGCAAACTGTGAGCTCCAGAAATAAGCTCTGGCTTGTTCACGGTCCAGCAGATGTGCCTATTATATGTGGAAAAACAATTTAAACCAAATTTCATGTCCTAAGTGCGGTATCGGTCCTGCCACCATGTTTTTTTGCAGAAAAGTGGACGCATCACTAAAAAGTCTATTTGCATATTCTACAAACCATTCGGTAACCGTAGATAGTTAGGGTATCTGAAGAAAGGCCAGCTTTCAACAAAATAATGCACCGGCTTATACAAGACAATTAAAATAGGACTGGTCACCTTAGTTAACATGCATGTCCCGGCATGAATGTACATGAACGTTGAACCACTCAAATTTGAATCTGTTGGATTGCCATGTATTGAACGATATTGGGTGTGATTCCAAGAAGTCTCGACCTGCCAAGGACGAGTCGCTCATTCGAGTATCAAACAGGTATTCGCATAATTACAGTAAGAACACTTGAGACAAGCCTGTAGGCAATTTACGGCCTGAATTCAGGCCGTAAATCTACTATGTTATGTCTACCATCAGGAATAACGCTTTAGTTCATGCAACAACCGTCACCGAAATATTTGTGTTTATTTAGATACAGTCTTAGTAAAAAAGCGTAAGAAACATTCCTAATTTGGATGTCGCACCTTGTACATTATACGCTTAAAATCGGCAAATGTTATTTGTTTTTACACAAAATTCAAATTCATCACTCTCACTAACTTCAATTCAATGTGCCTGTCCATTCAGCACCTACGCTCTTCTCTCTTACCTCGTTACTAACGCCGAAATTATTAAAGGTAAAGGCTGCTGTTGCATTAGGCGCCAAACGAGCGAAAGCAAAAAACAATCTCTTGTTCAGTATTCTTTCAAAAGAATCTTCCTGGTAACTCACAACTTGTAACATCGGCAGCAGCGTAACCGCTCACAAATGCCCACAGGTGTATACATATATGAGCACATGTTACACTGCGCATTTTTTTGTTTTCGACCCAAATCTCTTCTTTCACACGTCGGCTACCGATCCCGTCAACTTCTGCTCATAACAGCATTTTGGAACATTCACTTCTTGATCTTCCAGCATGATGGTCGCCCTTTCTTTGGTTGTTTTTTCTAGTACCGAGTGACGCTCGGTTGCTGGCCGGCTCACTGAGCGTATACCACCGTTTAGCGTTTCTTTACTTTCGACTTTTTACCCTTACATAATACCCGTACCACACTGGCAGAAGCAGAGTGGGCAGCTACAGCCTGGCGTTAAGTTGATTAGATCCTTAAAAAAACAAAATTTTCTGTTTCTCCAGCTACTAAAGATAGTAATAGAAAAAGCAAGAAAGATGGGGAGATAAAGCACTTCACCAACAGTAGTGATAACAGGACTAGCATAGAGGACGCCGTACCGTCCAGTGTGCTACTAAATAACTGAGCGTCTCTCAGAGTTCGCCAGCACGGCGGCCGCTGAAACTCTCTGTGAGCATCTATGCTTTGACGCAAGCAAACAGGACTTCTCTTTTTTCTTTCTCTGAAAGATTAACTCTTCCTTCATGACAACTTTAAACGAGCAGACCATATGGAGGATTATTAAGATTTTCGAAGTCCGTTCCGTCAAACCTCTAGCACCCTAACCCCTCACGGGTATTCCTCTTTGTCGTAGCACATCTTCTTTTTCGTTTTGTCCCTCTCAAACAGGCACCTCCAGGAGCAGAAGCAGGAGTGTTGGCAACGACAGCTAGCGCAGCGAGGCCCTCTCCGCATCAGAATCAAGAGCGACAAAAGGGAGATAAGCAATACAGTTGGGCCAGAACACTCGCCTTCCTGATATCTCCCTCTAAATCCTGTTTGAAGTTAAAGAATTGGTCACAACAGAAACAGAAGCCACCAGGAAAGAGATCATTGTTCAACATCAACAGTAGCGGCGGCGATGGCACTAGCAGCAGGCGCTGACAAAAAAGCAAGAGGGAGAATTCTTGTGCCCGACTCTTGCATTAACCTCTATTTTTATAAGCTTTTTTTTTCGTTAAAGGAGAAACCGCCGCGGCGGATGCAGAGGACAAGTCAGCCGCTAAGCGTCAAGCCGTTACTGCAGACGCCTGCCATTCGTTTAATTTTTCATCCACTGCCACATTAGCAGGAGGTAGGTGGATCCCGATCGACTCGAACGTGGGAGCAGAAAATAACGATTGAAGGTTTGTATACATAGTAGATTTTCGTTCATTGTAAATCAACAAGGCAGGCATGAGCAGAAGCATACGACCAAGGTCGAAAACACAGAGCTACTATTGTTCTGTATCTACAGTGGGTCGAGTTCTTGCGAGTCTCACTCGTTGCTGAATTTTTCAAAGTGGAAGAGCCGGCAAGAGAGACGAACGAAACGAACCGCAGAGACGTATCACGAAGTAGTTAGAGTGAAGTAAATACACAACTGCTGTAAATCTCGAGGTATCAAGCGATAATTGCGTGATGAAGAGTTTGTGTGGGCGTAGGAAATCCGTGATAACACTATGGGGTGAATGAAGGAGATTAATAGGAAATGAGTTAAATTGATAATATTTCATTGGAGAAGACCATGTATGGAGAAAGCCAGCGATGCATGCATCAGACACTTCAAGATAGGAAATAATTTAATCATAAGATTTTTTCCAAAGAAAATAACAAAATCCATATTTTATCTTATTTCATTATAAGTTGTAGAACGAAGTAACGAAAACGTTATATGTGTACGATACTAATAAAAATACTCGACTGTAGAACTAACAGGCTAAATGTGGCTGTTGATCTCGGTTGTGATACTCTTAATTATCGGATCTTTTAGATAATTATAATAATAATATATGCAAAACTTTCGAAATGCTCCGTTGTAGCAAAGGTTTTTTTATTTTGTAGTAATAGTTTGACCCATAAAAAAAGTTTCTAAAACCGACGGACTGGTAACAAATTTGCGCTTTTCAGAACCATAGGTCACCGTGAGTAGAATTTCCGAGTTAACTTTAAGTCATTATTGAAATAAATAATGTTATAGAATTAGAACTCATACCTCTAACAAGTAGTTGGTCTATAAGCGCTCTGAACTGTAATATCATGAGGTACATCGGGTACCAATCCATCAATCACCCGGCAACTCTTAGCACGCTGAAAGATAGCAAAATACGCTAGTATAAAATATGTACTAGTCTTGGTGGCATATATTCATATATGTGCACATATTTCTGACTGGGAAGGTTTCAGCTGCAAAATGAAAATGGCACAACTCATCAAAATATCCTAGAGACGTAAATACGCGTGCGTTGAAGAGTACTCACGGACATGATTAGTAATAACATAATCCATGCTTCTCCAGCGTTCAAAATTTGTGACGCTGCATTATAGAAATTAACCATATATAGTTTTTCTGCGTATATATATTTACCTGCTACTTACAGATAATTACGTATAATAAGAAAATTGAGCTAACGATATTGCTAATTTGTAATGTCAGCCCTTTGCATAAAGGAACTTCGCCGTACGGAAATAGTATCTATAGCTTACGTATCGTCTGGCTGCGACTTGTCGAAAAATTAATTATAAAATCATAGCTTCTAATTGTTCCCGTGCATCGAATTCATTAAGTCTTTCTCTATTTGGAACTTGGGTGTGTACACATCTCTTTTAGAGACTAATTTGAGTTCTCTTTCGCAGTTTTTTTCTCAGTAGTCTAAACGAACTCCTGCTTTTTCCCCAGCTATATTACCTTCACGACATTCGAGAAGCTTCCTGCCCAGATTTTTCTGTTCTGATGCACCCTGGTTATATATATATATATATATATATATATATATATATATATATGACTGAGATACGAATATGCAGATTCACACATCTTAGCGACCTTTTTAGTGATTGTTCATACCTACTTCCTTAAATGATAGTTGTCTGTTTAGTTTCAATCAGATAACACGTCCTTTGACATCAAGTACCAAAATTCTGATACTTCCTTTGGAATCACGAAGCAACCCTAACGGTATTAGTAAACCAGTGTCGATGTGATTCTCCCACAGCTTCTATTAAACACTATTTTACCATAGTGGGCTTTGTAACAGAGCGGCATGAAAATTGCTTGTTAAGTACTTTTCGAGTAAAGTACTGCAATTGCCAACGACCGTTTAAATCATGGCGTGAAATAATGTCATCGTATAAGATACTGCTGCTGTTTCGCTCCATAGGTATTAATTTGGAAGGTGCGCTTGCGGCCCTCCCTTTCAAGCAGAATTGTTAAATAGTTTTTTGAGAGTCCCTAGGGGCTCTCGAGTGCGTCCTGGTCATTTGTTCCCTGTCACGGTAACACTGAGCTGATTGACTTACAGCAGCAGCTGTCTCACAGAGAGAACTGGTGTTAGGATTGATGGTAGCGTGTCATTATGTAATTAACGAGTTAAATCGTAAAAAAGCGTTTAGATGGGGACGTTGCAAGCGATTCTCGTGTTTTCGATTAGCAGCTCACATCAGCAATGTATAACCCCTGCCATAAGCGTTTTCTTTTTAATTTTCATAATTTTTACACGAACTGCCATTCGAATATGTAAGAGCTAGCATTGACAAAATTATCATTCGGTGCATGGGAAACGTTTTCCATAGACTTTTTTTTTCCATAGTGTATTGACTGGCGGCGAATACATTTAAATTCACTTCAATATTCCGTTGCATTGCTTGGTCAAGAGGACTTTAATAAAAATGACGATTTTTAATTCCAACAGAGTTAAGCATCCGCACACTTTGATCGCAATGCAAGACTGTATCTTGATAATAAGTTTTCAAAGAGTTAAGTTGGACGAATAGTATTCTACCCGTATCCCGGTTTAATAGATTGTTTTTTTGATACCCTGCATGATACGACCAATATAGATAGCGATCGAGAGAACTATAGCATACTAAGTTAGGTAAGTTTTTACAAAGCTCTCGGTATGTGAATAATAACACGTTACTACTGAGTTTGAAATTCAACTTCTCCTAAAAAGAGACCCTCGGAAAACTCGATGCTGTGTTAAGGTAAAGAACCACGAAAAGCTTATCATGGGCAATATATTGGAGTGAAGCTTAATATTATTAGATTTCACTCACGAGCTCCTTCACGAGTACTTTATTCTTGCACTAACACCTCAATGGGCCTAAAACTTAACATATTTTCGTTTTGAGTTCGAAAGCCGTGTCTTAGACTGGTTAAAGCAACGGTTTTGCGCAAGCGCTAGGGAATCGCGTCTCCTGAGAACTTCAAGAGGCCTACAAAAACTAGAAAAGAAAATTAGACAGAACATAAAATCGAAGCAATATTTAATAGAAATCTTATTACTTACTCGATCAAAGGTAATTGGCAGGTGTCCGTTTTTCAGAGAAGATGATTACATCATTATCATTATTATGAGATTACGTTTACGAAGTACGAAGGTCGTACTTACTACGATTAAACCGTTAGTCAGTTAATTTTGTCGTACCTTTTTTATTTATCAGTTCCAACGATTAGCCTAACTTTATTTTTATAGAATTTTCCTTCCATTAGTATGAGATGTGGTACATTAAAGGAGGCATTTTACGATTCTGAGCTACACCTTTGGGTTCAAAGATCGTGCCGTTCCCTGGCGAATTGTAGTGTTTGAAGCTAAAAAAGACTATTACCCTTATCATTGCTATATCTATTCTTCAACATTATCTAGGAATATTCAGGTCGGTCTAATAAGCAAGAAGTAAAATACCCCTGATGCCATTACATTGTGCCTTTTACAAATCTCGTTTGCTGTTCACTATTGGGTCTTACCGATGTTCAATGTTACTGCAGAACCTGTAGCTATAGGTATTGTCACATTAAGTTTTAACAAACGAACGTAAGGTATTCCTATCGTCTTCAGGAAGAACTAAGAAAAAATAGAAACCAATGTTAACCTTTGAGCCGCGTAGCCTTTATTTTTAGACAAAAAAAAATCATCTAATCATCAGTAAGAAAACACTAGGGAAACTTCTTCATTAGATCTTGCCTTCGATAATCAGAGGAGCCGAGAAGCTCCTTGTTTGATTATTTCGTTTTTGTCAGGTACCTGCTGTTGGTTTATGCATGAAATGGCTGTGTTATAATGGCAAGATTTTATATCGCAAAAAGCCTGTCATTTTTGTACAACTGGAGGAAGCTCTCAACTCTGTTGCCATATAACAGGCTTGATAACGTCTTTTATTTGCATAAACTGTGTAGCTGCGTGTGCTGCTACCACAGACGTATTTGCATATCGGAGCTTTCTCTAATACATCGCAGTACAGAAACTAAAATGTGGCACAATCTGGTTGACGGAACCGGACGACAAAATTAATTCAGCAAGTTCAGTAAAACAGTGGACCACAGTACAAAATCGTACAGCTTAGAGCGTAGTACCATTATGCACATTAGCAACGTGTACTCGAATGACCTATATCAGAGGAATATAATTACTGATCAATGTCCTAGATCATCGGCGTCATAACATATCTGAACAATCTTTCAGGCGAAACGCTTACCGCTTTACTCTTAGCTTGTTCTTGCCTTCTTAGCGACGGCTTAGCACGGTCTGAATCTTCGTGGTACAGCCCATAACTTTTATCATTTATTCAATTTCACAGGACCTAAACATTTTTATGCTGCTAGCTTTGTTTTCAGACACGTTTTTTGACTACCGCTATTTTTTTCACTGTACGAATAAAAGTGTGCCACTTTCATCACTAAAACCGCCCTTTCTTGTCATCGCCAACAATTGTGAGGGTCGCTGTAATTTTACGCTGAGCACAACGACGCACCGAGTAACAAATGCTTCTGCTCCACAGGCTATAAAACGTATAGGCGGGAGGGTGCTCGAGTTAAGGCAAACGCGGCATTTGCTTTTCGACTTCCACCTTTCGCATAGGCATCCACCAACACCTTTTTCAAACGCTCCCGCGCGCTCCGAACAACGAACGATGCATGCCTATCATTTTGGTCGAGGGGGAGCCCCGAACGCAGAGTGCAGGGCACAAATGGTTCTCTCACTTCAAGCCCTTTTGCCGGTAGCTACCTTCGTTGAATGGCTCTCGAATAACAAAGTAGAAGCCTTTCTATAGTAGGTTTTTTTGCGTACGCCGCTACTACCTGACGATACTGTTGTTGGTTATTGCACGTGACCCTGTCGGTGCTCTATGTATCGTCAGAGGAATGGGTAAACATGCCACGTTGATCCGTTCCGCTAGAGACAAGCGGAGTTTTATCTCGCCTCCTGTCGAGGCAGTAAGCGCGTATGTAGTCAATAAATTTGCGAACAAAAATTAAGTAATTAAAAGCAATTACCTTATCTGTACATGTAGAAATGTATATTGAACTCAGATTGTATTAATATCTATTCTTGAGCTTCAGCGTAATGTTGATAGCTCAACCGCGGTGGAATCTGCAGTGAGTCGCTAACAATAATCTGTTTCCTGGCGCGTTACTGATGTGAGCGGATGTACACTGCCAGACGTGGGTTTGTATTGATTTTATAACTATCTTCCGTCCACCTGGACCTGTGCCGCGAACAAATCTCATCGCCTGCCCTCACAGGCTGCCTCATCACACGAAATCTTCACCACTCAGACAGGTTATATCGGAAGCAACGGAAGATGGCCGGCCGTCCTGGCTAGGAGTCTTAATCTACGTACGGCGTAGTGCTAATAAATCTCCATTACATGGACAGCTTGTAATGAGTGGCGACTGGCCGTTAGCTGTGATTAAAACTAAGTCATTAGATAACTAATGTATATTAGGTATACGTGG